TGATTTAGGTATAAGGGGAAAAAAAACAATCAGAAAAAAAGAACAGTTGGCAAGACTGTGAAGGCTTTTCCCCAGATCTAGACTGAGGTGAGTGGCTGGCCTTTGTGCTTCCAAGCATCCCCTGCAGCAAGGTGGGAATGCAGGCAGACTTCTAAGACACACAATATATGAACCAGTAAAAGCAACAAAATGATCGAGGGAAGAGTTCTACTGTTATGGACTGAATGTGTCCCCCCAGAAACTCATATGCCTTAACCCCAGGGGAATGGTGTTAGGAGGTAGGGCCTATGGGAGAAGATTGTGTTTAGATTAGATCATGAGGATAGAGCCTCCACAGTAGGATTAGTTTCATTATAAGGAGAGAAAGAGATACCAGAGCGTGTCCTCTCTCTCTCTCTGTGGTGAGGACATAGTGAGGAGGTAGCTGTCTACAAGCCAGAAAGAGAGCTCACCCCAAAAGTCAACTATGCTGGCACCCAGATCTCAGACTTGCAGCCTCCAGAATCTGTGTTTAAGCTGCTCAGTCTGTGGTATTTTGTTATGGCAGACTGAGACATCTACCCAGAAAAATAAAGAGTAGGAGTAATCACAAAATGCTCTTAAGATGAATAAGATCATTTTCCCAGATAACTGAGATAATAGAAAACATGTAAGTTAGGGAATATGAAATAAAAAAAAAAATAGACAAGAACCAAGGACTAGGGGAAAGAAAAACATAGAACAAATTATCTGTCAATAGTTATTTAAGTGCAGATTTTAATTAAAAAAATAAAATCCATGTTGGTGTGATCAAAGAGAGGTTTCTTGAATCAGAATATGCAGGAGAAATACAACAAGAATGCAATATCACCAGGTAGAGAGTCATGAGAAAGAGCTCCTAAAAGATACTGAGAATCAATTGTGATGCTGTGCCCATGTTGAATGATATATCCAAAAGAATTAAATAGATAAAACAAGATAGTGAGTACAAAAAGATGACTGAGAGATTTTACTCCTAAAAAAAAAAATAGAGTAAATGAAATTTCACTATTCCTTTCACTAAGCACAATTACAAACCTCAGACATTATATATAAAACAAACATAAGAAGACCCTTGTATTAGTCAGCTCAGGCTGTGTAACACATACCACGCACTAGGGGCTTAAACATCATATGTTTATTTTCTCACTGTCCTGGGGGCTTGAAGTCTGGGATCAAGGTGTCAGCAGAGTTGATTTCTCCTGAGGCCTCTCTCCTTGGTTTGTAGACAGCCGTTGTCTCCCTGTGCTCTCACGTGATCATTCCACTGTGCATGTCTGTGTCCTAATCTCCTCTTCATATAGGGACACCAATTATATTGGACCAGGGCCCACCCCAATGACCCCATTTTACCTTAATAACCACTTTGAAGATCACATTTCCAAATACGGTCACGTTCGGAGGTCCTGGGGGTCAGGACTTCAACATATGAATTTAGAGGGAACACAATTCAGCCCATGACAACCCTGAAAGGTGGCAACAAGAAGGTAGACCAGGTAGAAAATTCATCACCCTAGGAATCTCACCATAGTGAGCTCCCTGGGATTTCTTTTGTCCCCACATATCTCAGACTTGTAGTAGAAGAAGCCAACGAGTCAGAAACACCAATGGGCACAAACAAAAAATTACCTGACAAAATCCTGCTCCTTCTAGTCGTAGGACCAGGACAGGGGCAGCCTAGCCCGACAGAAAACTTCTTATATCTTAGACTCTAGGAGTGATGTCAGAGAAGGCAGGAAGGCTGGACTTTTCAGCCCTGCCATCCAATAGCTAGGTGTCAGTGGAGACCAGAGAACAGCCAAAACTCCCACCTCTCTTCAGTAGTATGAGGATCCCCCATTCCTGCCACCGATGTCAGTGACATCCAAGTGGGGCGCCTGCAGTTCTACCTCTACCTGGCAGTAATAAGGTGGCACCAACATTTTCCCTTCCAGAGCAGGAGGAAGCTAGTTTGGGTTGCTTTCCACACCAACAACTAATTCTCTGGACATATCAACAGGATGTCCAGCAATTCACTTTGGTTCTGACACTACCCACCTGGAGTTAGCATTAGATTCCAAATTTAAGGGCTCAGCCCCACAAGATTGCCCCCACTTCAGATGCCAGTTGCAAGTCCTGGACCATTTATACTTCTGATCAACTGACCATAAATTGGGGGCTCCCATGATCCCTTCCTCAGGTTTGATAATTTACTAGAATGGCTCACAGAACTCAGGAAACACTTTACTTATGTTTACTAGTTTATTACAAAGGCTATGACTCTGGAACAGCAGAATGAAAAAGATGTGTAAGACAAGGTATGGGAGTGGGGATGGAGCTTCCATACCACCCATCCAGCGAATCAATGTGCTCACCAACCTAGAAGCTCTCCAAGTCTTATTGCTCAAGCATTTCTATAGAGCTCAAAGTCCAGCTGAAAGTTCTCAACCTCTAATTACATAGTCTTTCTGGTGACTAGCCCTATCTTGAGGCTACTTAGGAGTTCTCTCCTAAGTTACCTCATTACCAGAAACTCAGACGTGATCTAAAATAGCTCATTATGAGTAACGAAAAACATTCCAATCACTCAGGAAATTCCAAGGACTATAGGAGCTCTGTTCCAGGAACAAGGAACAAAGACCAAACGTATTTCTTATTACATCACAGCCAGCTAAAACAGAAAACTTAACTAGGAACTAGGGTCTCATAATGTGATAAGAGAATGTCCATGTTTCTATTAAAAGATCATTTATCATAACCAAGAACCAGGAAGATCTTAAACTGAGTGGAAAAAAAAAAAAGCAAAAGGCACCAATACTGAGAAGACAAAGATGTTGGAATTATCTGACAGAGGTTTTAAAGCGGCTATGATAAAAAGAAAAAATACTTCAACAAAAAATTATGAGCACACTTGCAACAAATAATAAGTAGAGCATTTCAGGAAAGAAATGGAAAATTTTATCAAAGGAATAGATATATAAAGAATAAACTGTCTACAGTCATACCACCCTGAACATGCCTGATCTCGTCTGATCTCGGAAGCTAAGCAGGGTCGGGCCTGGTTAGTACTTGGATGGGAGGCCACCCAGGAAGACCAGGTGCTATAGGCGTTTTTAAAAAAAAAAGAATAAACTAATGGAAATTTTAGAAGTGAACAGTACAATAACCAAAATTAAATCTCAGAAGATACACCTAACAGCAGAACAGAAGGAACAGAGAAAGGAATCAGTGATCCTGAAGATAAGATAATAGAAATTACCCAATCTGTAAAAAAACATGAGGGAAAGTAGAGTGAAAAAACATATGAGCAAAGCCTCGGGGACCTACATGAGTAACTTTAGGCCAATCAGTGTCCTAGAAGAAGAGGAGAAGACCAGTATGGCTGAAAAGGTTCTCAAAGAAAAAATAACTGAAAACTTCCCACATTTTGCAAGAGACATAAACGTACAAATTCACGGGGCTGAGAAAATCCCAAACAGGATAAACCCTAAGAGTCTACACCAAGATGCATCATAATTAAAATTTGAAAATTAAGAAACAGAAAACCCTTGAGATTGGAAAAAAATGATACCTGAACTATATAGAAAAACCAATTCAAAAGATAGTGAATTTCTCATCAGATGGAGGGAAACTAGGAGAATTGGTCACTAGCAGACCTACCTTAAAAGAACAGCTAAGGAAGTTCTCTAAGCAGAAAAAAAAATATCAGAAAGATAGCTGGAAGATAAGGAAGGAAGGAAGAACATGGGGAGCAAAATGTGGTTAAATAAAATAGAATTTCCTACTCCCCTTGAATTTTTAAATGATCTTTGATAAATGGTGCAAAAGTTATAACACTAATATAGATCTAAATGTATGCAGAGAAAATATTTTAGACAATAGTATTACAAACAGGAGAGATAGAGGGGACTTAATGGAGTTAGTTTCTATGCTTCACCCAAACTGGTAAATGGCAGTACTAGTACACTGTGATAAGTTATGAATATAAAATGTATACATGGCCAGCTGGGGCAGAGGAAGGACTGGGCTCAGACGCAGGTGCCACAAGGTGCTGTGAGGGCTGAAACTGGAGATATGCTCATTGTGTACCTGAACAGGAGTGGCCAGGGCTACAGGCAGCGCCCTATGGAAGGACTCTTGAGCAGAGGCTCAGAGATAGTCCCCGGGGACAATGGATTGCCCTTGAAGGGAGCTCTGGTGTTGGTGGGAGACCATTCCTCCAGCAGCTGGAGTGAGAGCTGGTGAGAGAGATGAAATAGGGCTGCACAGTGCTCACAACCTCAGAACCACTGGTTCTTCCCAAATGAACTCTCTGTGAGCAGCAGAAACATCCAGCGGAAGTCAGGAGGGGGAGAAGCGTCTGTGGCTCAGGCTTCTTCAGCAGCTTCTAGATGCTTCCCCTAGCTCAGAGCCTACCTCTCGCTTCCCTCTGGGTGGCCTGGCTGGTCATTCACCAGGCTCCTTTCTCAAACTGAGAAAGGACTGCAATGGCCAGTCCTGGAAGATGACAGAGGACCAAGCCAGGCAGGTAACCATGGGGACCAGGCTAGTGGCTTTCAATTTATGCATCTCAGAGCTCAGAAGCCCTAGCAGAGATACCTCAGAGGCTGGAGGGTGGGGTGAGGCTGAGGGACCAATGGTACCCTTTTGCCTGGGACAGAAAAGGCTTCTCTTTGTAAGCTGGTCACCCCAGGGGACGCTGCCCTGACAGGTTCCATTCTCCATGAACCAGCAGGTTCCCTTCCACCCAGTTCACAGGGAAGGGCAGTTGCAACTTAAACGGAGCCCCAAACCCTAGGAAGGTACAGGGCCCTCACCCCCTCTCCTCAAGACAGTGAAACAGAAGACGCCTTATATCAGAGGTTTTTATTGGCATGTGTGTGCTTATATAGCAAGTCCTGGAGAGGAGGCCAGCGGTGCAGCCCAGCAGGGCACACACCGCCCCTTCCCCCCGCCCCGCCCCCCGTGCCCCCGCCCCCAACACGAACTGCTGGGCCCGGCACTCAGCGCACTTGTGCCAAGTTGTGCTTCTTGTATAGCAGCGCCCGCCTCTTCTCGCGCTCCTGCATGAAGGCGCGCAGCCGCGCCGTGGGGAAAGTCACAACTGAGGGCTGAGAGCAGGCTGGGCCCTCCTCGGTCAGCCACGGGCACTGCAGGCAGCTGGACGCGCACGGCCGTCCCCTGGAGCATGGGGGATGGGAGATGTCTGCCGCGTTCTGGGAGCTCGGGCTGGGTAGCGCAGGGTGGAAAGGAATGGTTGGGATGGACGGGGTGGGGGCCACCTTACCAGGGGTTTGTGCACAGCGTGCTCTGAAGAAAGGCCACGGCGCCCCCAGACAGCCCAGCGTAGCAGCGGCTTAGCAAGATGAGCCCCTTGCGCAGGCCTTTCTGCACGTCGCGCGTCCCCTCGCTGCTCACCGGGTACTCGCCGCTCAGCCTGCGAGGGTGGGGGTGTCAAGGAACCCAGGTCACCCTCGGTGGATGGGGGTCACTCTCATGGATCCTAGCCGGCAGCTCCCGTCCCATCTTCCCTCTCCTCCCCAGCGCAGAAAACTCACATGATGAACGTTGTTACGCCGATGGCCCAGATGTCTGTCTGTGGGACAGCACCCTGGCCCTCCAGGAGCTCCGGGGCTGGTTGGGGGCGTGGGGGAACACACAGGTGAGGGGCTGGGTGTCTGCAGTGGAGGGGGCAGGTGGCAAGACTAGGGGAGGTGCTTGCTTCTGGCCCACCCCTCCCCCAGGTCAGGCCCTGTAGCGTACCCATGGTCTCCACATAGTCCTTGAACCTCTCCGCAGGCAGGACTTTCTCCTGGGCGAGGCTCTGGGAATTGCCCAAGTCGACCACCTTGAGCAGGTTATACTCAGTGACGATCATGTTCTCGGACCTGAGGTCCAGGTGCAAGATGCCTTGCGCATGTAGGTACTGGGCGGCACTCAGCATCTGCCACAGGTAATCCTTCACCTCAGATTCAGAGTAGGAGGCCCTAGGGCACATGGGGAGGAGGCTTGGCTCTGTCTGAGTCTCCACTGAGACCTCCATACCAGTGGGAGGTTGGTCCCCTGCACTGCGCACCCCACCCCCCACCCCCAAACCTGCATTCAGGTCAGGCAACCCCTCACCGCTCGGCCAGGCAGGGAAGCAGCTCCGGCCCAGAGCAAAGCTCCAAAATGAGGACCAGGTGCCGTGGGCTGAGATAGGCGGCCTGCAGCTGGGCCAGGTGCGGGTGGCGCAGGCCCTTGAGGGCCTCGTACTCGCGCAGCACTGCCATCCTGTCCTCGAGGCGGTAGGGGATTATCTTAGCAGCCAGCGCTCGTCCGCTGGCCTTCTCCCAGCACTGCCGCACCACACTGAAGCGGCCCCTGACGAGGAAGCACCAGCCAAGTTCAGGAGGACTCCTCCAGCCCTGGGGTCCCGCTGGCCTGCTCGCCCTCTTATGACCCCTCCCACTCTCAGAGCAGAAGGGAGGAAGTCCAGCGGAGAAGGAGGGGCACAGATGCAGGGGAGGAGGCAGTGGGAGCATCAAAGCCAGCAAGTGGGGAGGGCTCACACCTTCGGATCTGGGTCTGGAAGGTGAAGGTCTGGGAGCTGGGGAAGGGCTGGGTGGGTCGTGTTGGACTGCTTTCCTCCTCAGAGGCTGCGGGAAGGGAAGCCAGTGACTGGGGGGCTCCCCACAGCCCCAGCTCCCCTCACCTTGTCTCCCATCACCCCTTCCCTGGCACCCTGAAAAGGGGCCTCTCTTTGAATCCACACTTGGCCTCTTATTTCTTAGACCATTTGGGGATATGTGAGTGGCATAGCAGCCAGAACATATCTCCCAACTGCATATGTGCCTTGGTAAAGTGGCAGGGCAATTCTGGAGGGACCCCCACCAGCTGCTAGGCTCTGCAGAGGCTCACCCAAGTGGCTGGGTCCTCCCAGGAGGACCTGTTCCGAGGGACTGCTGTAGGGGCCCATGCCTGCCTTGCTGACGCATGCTGTCCGGAAGGTGTACACACCACCCCGTGAAAGCTTGTTGGCCAGGTAGCAGCAATCGAAGATGTCCGAGGCCAGTGTGCTCCAGCTGCCACCTGGCCACACAGAGCAGGTGAGGGATAGGCCCAGGCCACCCGATTCCAGAGTTAGGGGGTGGAGAGACCCCTCCCCAAAGGAGGCTGCCCAAGAGCGAAGAGGGGGCCAATGTTTCCCCAAAGGGTGCCAGTGGAGCAGAGGGGGCCAGACGCTTCCCCCACGGATGCCCAAGGGCACAGAATGACCAAGTGTTTCCCCTCCCTCCCCCACTGGCAACAGGCCCCCCAGGAGGCAAGGGCACAAGGCAGCCCTACCTTCTAGGCTGCACTGCACAATGTAGGTCACGGGGCCGTAGAACTCCACAGGCTTCCAGACCAGCAGCACCCCATCTGCATATACCTCCCCAATGTCTGGTCGCGGGGAGGACGAGGGACGCTCTGCAGGGCCCAAGGTTAGGTGTCTAAGGTGGCCTCCCAGAAGCTGTCCCTGCAGCTCTGAGCCTCTGTCCCCACCTCCGCACCCTACTGCCAGAGTGGGTGCCCACCACCAGGTGGGTGCCCCTGGTCCCATTGATTCGGGGGTCTCATTCCAGTGCTGCCTGGCAGAGGGGCCCAGTGCTTCTACTGGCAGGGGTTTGGAAGGTGTCTGCTTGCCAACCACAGCCTCCCCTCGGCTGGTGCACGCCCAGGAGCCCCATGGATTGGACCTTGCTTGAAGTCCCCCGCCCACCCTAGGCTCCTGCAAGCCCCATTGGAAACCTCTATGAAGAGGCGATGGCCTGGGGTGACCCCTCTCCCTGTCCCCACCAAGGGTGCCAGCGGTGGCCCACCCACCGGCCTTTCGGAGGACAGCCGTGGTAGCTGCAGTGCCCAGTGCGTTGTGCACACTGCATGTGTACACGCCTAAGTCTTCGGCGGTCACCACCAGGATGGTTAGAAGGTGGAAGTTCTTGAGTGTGGAGGAGATGAGGAGGCGGCCGCTGCCCTTCAGGAGGGTCCCGTCTGTGGCCAAGCAGAGCGGGCGTGAGGGGCAGCTCTGAATGCCCAAGTCACATGCACTCTCTGGGCTTTAGTGTTCCACTGTATGTTGAAAGCCATGCCCTCAAGGAGCATCTCCTGCTGTCCTGCCCGCCCCCCCACAGACACACATACACACACACTAGGATAGCTCCTTACCTTTATTCCAAGTGGCCTGTGCAGCTGGCTGGGCCGACACCTGGCAGGCAAGAGTCACGGACTGGCCCAGGACCACCGTCTCGTCAACAAGCTCCCTTAGGAAGAATGGCGCTGGGGAAGGGAGGTGGGGTGAGCCTTCAGAGGTGACCCCCAACCTGAGAGTAGAATCCCGAGGTGGGGATACTGGAAAGGAGCCCACCCTCACCGGCTCATCGTCAAGACCAGCACCTCTTCCAGGAAGGCCTCCAGGACTGTTCAGTCCGGACAGCCAGAGCGCCAGAGCTCCACATTTGGGCTCAAGCCCCTACTTGTCTGGGCACTGTGGAGGGGCTCCCCTTTCCTACAGCCAGGTCCCCTGGGTAGCAGGGGGTCCCAGCCCTGGGAGTGCACCCACCTTGGTCTCTGCTCTTTAAGCCCAACAGCCGGAAGGAAGCTAGGCCTGCCTTCTTCCTGGGGGGTCCCTCTTTCTCTGGACCTGCATGGAGGACAGGGCCGTGGAAGGTCACACCAAGGGGCTGGCTCCTCTGGGACCTGACACCAGGGGCACGGGAGGACGACTCCAGGGCCGCCTGCCACCACTGCCAGATTCCCACGTGGCAGAAAAGCCTGGATCCCTGGTGATTTTGTTAGAAACAAGCTAAATCTGCTGTGGAGGTCACTGCCTCACCACCCCAGCAGTATTGGCCTGTCCTGATTAGGGACATGTCGGGAAGGTAAGCCAGCAGTTCTGGGGCACAGGTGCCCGGGGAGGCCTGGCTGAGGTCTGGGGTCAGGGTGGGGCTCAAGGAGGATGAGGAAGGCTAGCCTTGTTCTGATCTTCTCCACAGCGACGTCATCCCTGCAGCTTCTCTGGGTCCCAACACTAGGTCTCAGATGCACATGGGGAGGGCATGAGGCTAAGAAGGTGACCTCAGGAACAGGGTCCCCATGTGCCTGGGGTTTGAGTGGCACTGGAACAGCAATGGGGGCTTCCTCCATCAGGTGGGCTCCTGAACTATGGTTCCTGGGCATGAGTGCAAGACATCCCAAGGTACAGAGGGGAGACACCTGGCTAAGCCCAGAAGCCTTGGTAGGAGTGGGGAGTCACCTTCCAGCCTGCCCTTCAGGAGGCGGGAGATATGGGCCACCGAGGCCCTCACCCTCCGGCGCAGCCCCAGCTCCGTGGGCTCCTCCAGCAGCGTGCGCCTCCCTGCGAAGCTCAGGAGGCCCCTGGAAGGGGGTGACCACTTGCGCTTCCTGCTGCCACCTGCCTCCCCAAGCAGAGCTTCCATGTCCTCAGGCTCCTCAGTGATTTCCAGGCCAGCAGGCACGCCCAGCATGTCTGGCCAGGGCCACGGGGCCTCTGGGAGCTCAGCCAGCCCCTCCCCGGCCTCTGACTCAGGGGAGGGTGGCGGCTCTGGCTTAGGGACCTTCCTGAAGATCATGAACTCAAAGGGGAGGTATTTGATGTCGTACAGGTCTGACAGGTTGAGATAAGCAGGATCCACCTCTGATATATCTAGGGACACAGTGTCAGCTGCCTCTGTATCTCCCGACAGATCCCGGATCTGTACCAGTGACACCTGGGAGCCCCCACCAAAGTCCTCCCATGAGATCAGCTCTGGGGAGGCCCTCAGGGGGACCTTGCTGCCCTCTGGCAGAGGTGCCGTGCTGGCCTCGGGGGTTGGGCTCTGGGCCCTTGCCTCATCCTGTTCCTCCAAGGACTGAGATGTGGCCCAGGCCATCCTGGCCCACAGGGGCCCCTGCCCCAGCATGCCTCCTGCATCCCCACCAAAGGCAAAGGTACCATAGCCAGCCACCCCTGCATAGCCCCCTCTGTGCCCTAGGGAGAACTTCCGCGAAGTTGCCTGCTCCTGAGGCCGTGCAGACTCAGAGGGGCCCTCTGTCTCCTGAGCTAGATTTTCAGCATCTAGAAAGGGGCTGGGCTCTGTACCTGCTAGGGAGGCTGGTCCTGGGGAGCTGGGGGGCCCAGGCCTCTTGGGGAGAGGGGTAGCCTCCAGCACCTTCTTAGAGCCTGGCTGGGGGCTTGCTTGGGCTGGGGAGGGGGGAGCTTGGAGGTCTGTAGAAGGGAAGGAGCTCAGGGGTGCCAAGAGGGCCTCTGGGCAATGCCCTGGAGGGAAGGAACCAGGAATTTGGGATGCAACAGCCATAGAGGAAGCACAGCCTTCCTGGGGGGCAGGATCCTGCTGAGGATGACAGAAAGGCACTGGCTGCCCCCCATAGCTGTACTGGGACAACCCCTCTTGCTTAGCAAGGCCAGAGTCACCATCAGTAGATAGAAATGGTCTCGGCCTCCCGAAGGACACCTCTGGATGCTCCATCTCTATGGCACCTGCTACTTCTCTGGGAGTGTACTCCCCTGGGGCTGCCTGAAGACACAAGGAGGCTGAGACAGGACACTTCCCCTCATGGCAGGCCTCCGTGGAGGGGCTGGCTGAACAGGGTTTGTCGAGGTCCAGGGAGCGGCTTCTGCTGGGGCCTCCACAGGCACTGGTGCCAGGTAGCCGCAGGGCAGTTTCGAAGGAAGGCACCTTGGCCTTCAGGGCAGCCTGCTCCTCCAAGGCAGCCTCTTCCTCCAGCACGCGGTGTTCCAGCAGCGGCTCCCGCAGGCCTGGCAGGGTGCATGCGTAGTAGCCACCCTTGAGCAGGTGCCGCCGGCGTGCCGGGTACCGCCTGCCGCCTGTAGCCAGGCCCCCGTGCTCCGGGCCCTCGCCCGCCTGCTGGTAGAACAGGCTGCGGATGATACTCTGCCGGGGCACACAGCCTGGGGAGGCTGGTAGCTCTGTACCCTGTGACGATGCGGGGAGAGGTATGGCCTCAACTGGTGGACAGCCCTCAGCCTCCTCGGGCAGGCTGGCGGATGGCCGCAGGAAGCCCCGCGGGTGCAGTAGCGGGGAGTGGGTCACTGGGGAGGGCGGCAGAGACTTGGCCCGAGCAAAGGATGTGAGCTCGTTGTCAGAGGAGGAGCTGCTGGACGAGGAGCTGGTGTCACCACGCAGGTGCCTGGCCACTCCAAGGGATGGGCTGTCGGGCGGGCCCTGGAGCAGCTCTGGGATGGAGCGCATCACCAGGATGGACTTGTAGCTCATTAGGGAGCGCTGGGGGTGCAAGGGACAAGGTGTCAGCCAGGTTCCTACTGCTTTCAGGCTCCCAGTGTGCCCAGAGGGAGTCCCAGGAGATGGAAGCATTAAAAGCCCCTCATCCTCTTCCCCAGCACCCCAGGGCTCTGTTGTGTCCCCGCCCTGGCTAGAACATTGCATGTTCCACACAGCCCTGTTCCTTCTCAGCAGCTAAGGGAGAGTGGACTCAGAAGGAAGGATGCCCAGACCTCGCTCCCTGCTCTCCCAGGCCCAGCAGGGCACACAGCCAGCCCTCTGGGCCTCCGTTCCCTGACAGGCCCTCCAGGTCCCTTGCTGCCCCCACCCCCTACCATGTCCCCCTCCAGCCTCTCCTCCCTGTGGCTGCTTGGCTTACCTGCCAGCGGCTTCTGGCCAGGAGGAACTTGAGCTGCTTGGTGTTGATGAAGTGGGCCTCCTCCGCAGGCACGGAATTCTGGGGGCCCAGGTGAGAAAGCCACCTCAGGGAGACCCTGGTGTGCCCTGTGGCCAGATAGGCCCCGCCCCTCTTGGCTTCAGTTTACCTCCCTGTGTGCTAGACCTCCCTGGTTCAGCCTACTCACCAGGAACCAGGGGTGGGTGAGGCACTGGGCTGCGCTGGGACGGACCCTGGGGGCAGAGGAAGGCCCAGTCAGGCCAGGGGTCAGCTGGCTCCCTGGGCAGACAATGGGGGAAAAGGCATGTGCACTCACTGCGGGGCCCTCTGCAGGGTGGCCTTGATAAAGTCCTGGGCGTCCTGGCTAAGGTGGACAGCCGCCGGGCTGCTCCAGGACAGCCGCCCCTCCAGCACGTTCAGGAGGGTTGCACGGTCACTCTCACCCGCAAACGGGGATGAGCAGGTCAGGCTGCAAACACAGGGAGGGGCTGGCCCTCAGACATGACCCCGGATTTCAGGGTCCATGGGGGCAGGTCGCCAGGCCAGGGAGGGTTGGGTCTCATGGAGTTTGGTGGGGGGGGCACCCTGACTGGGGATGGCCTCTCAGCGCCACTCCCACTCGTGCTGAGAGTCCCAGCAAATGTCTCGAATTTGCCCAGAGATCCAAGCTCAGCCTGGAATGGGGATCTGGGCTCAGCCTGGAATAGAGATCAAGGGTCAGCCTGAGGTGGGCACCAGCCTTAGCCTGAGGTAAGGAGCAGGGCTCCATCTGTAGAGGGGATCCAGGCTCAGTCTACACCAGCAGTGTTCTCAGGGCAGCAGTAATTGTTTTGAGGGGCCTTAGGTCCAACCAGCTGGATCCTTTGGGAAACAGCTTCGTGCTGTGCCGCGTGACCTGCGTCCTCTGGAATGGGTATTTGAAAAGTGCTTGGCAGAAACCTCTTATCTGAGTTGGCTGACTGCTTGTCCCCAAAATAGTTGCCTCTTGGGTTTCTGGTCTCTGATCTGGGGAGGGCTAGCAGTGCGTGTGGCCTCCCGTGGGCCTGCGGGTAGGGTTCGGGGGTTGGTTTCCTAGGAGGCAGCTGATGGGGTTGGGGGGTCTGCTCACCTGAGGTAGGAGATGACCCCCATGGCCCTGCGGGAACAAAACCATAGATGCAAGTCACCCCAGGCCTGGCCCACAGGTGAGGTGCTGCGGGTGAGCCGAGGGAGGAAGGGAGGCAGAGAGTAGGTGGGTAGACTGACATAGGACCTGCATCCCTGGGGCCCTGCCCACTCACCAGATGTCGGAGGCCTCGCTCACAGGGGTCTGCTCAATGACCTCAGGGGACACAAACTCAGGAGACCCGTACTTGCTGTACTGTGGCTCTGCTGAGGTGATTTTTTGGGCAAAGCCAAAGTCGCAGATTTTAATGTCTTCTCGAGCAGGATGTACCATCAGGATGTTGGAGGGCTATTGGGCAGTCAGGGAGTTGGTAAGGCCACACTCTAAGGAGGCAACTCCCAGGGTTACCAGATCTGGAGGAACACTCAGGTCTGTGAGAGGCTGCCCCACAAAGATGGTGCAGCCAGCGGGGGATGGGCTACTCTGGGGGCAGGTTTCAGTACCATTTGGGGACGGCCTCTGTTTTCTCAGAGCCACATCCCTCCTGAAGAGGCTGCCAGAAAGGTAGTGAGCGCTCTGTCCCCTAAAGCGAGCAAGTCCTGACAGGGAAGCTGAAAGTAGCAGGCTTGTGCCTTCCCAGCTTACAGGCCCCGGGCTCCCATGTGCCCCTCCCCGGGCTCTGGGGCACGGGGGGCGGAGGGCGTGGTGGGGGGATAAATACCTTTATGTCCAGGTGGAGGATTCCATGGCTGTGCAGGTAGTGCAGTCCCTCCACCAGCTGCTGGATGTAGATCTTGACCTTCAGTGGGAAAGGCTAGCACTCAGGCAAGAGAGTCAGCCTCAACCTCCTCCTCTGCTTCCCTCCCCTCCCTGCTCCCACCTACGACTCCACTTCCTCTAGGCCTGGGACAGTCCCACACAACTTCCCAGACCCTACTGTGCCCAAGGCCAGAGATTCCTCTGGGCCCAAAGGTGGGGAGGGTTTGGGTGTGTGGAGCTGCTTGAGCAAAGCAGGAATCATGTCTCAGGAGCAGGTGCAGGCTGGGAGGGGAAGTGGTGAGCCTGGAGCTGGGAGGGCTTTGAGACTGACTGAGGAACCGTGATACCCCTTGAGGACCTTGGATCCCCAAGAGTTCTCTGAGCTTGGGCACAGAGTGTGATGAGGGCCATGTCTGCTGAGACAGGCAGTCTGAGGCAGAGGAAGCAGGCCTGGTGGGGTGTGTATGTAGGGCTGTTGTTTGGGCAGACAACTTAGGCAGTACAGTCACCTCGGCCTCTGTCACCACGCTCTTCTTGAACAGACGGTCCAGGAGCTCCTCTGATGAGCACCTGGTGCTCAGGTCAAGGAATGCTCTAGGCTCTGGACTCCCCGCTCCCCCTCACAAGTTTTATGTTGGGGTGGGGGCAGAGGTCCATGCTGGGAAGGTGGATCCTCAGGGTTGAGGAGGGGTAAGTGGGACACAGGACCCAGAGGAGAGGGCTGAGGCCAGTGGCCAGTAACAGAATTGAAGTGGAGGCATCCTCTCCCCTCTGCACAGAGATACTCCAAGGGACAGAGAGCTAGAAGGACAGCTCTGTGTCTGGGCTGGTTGGTCACACAGAATCATACAAGAATGCAGGAGGCTGGGCTGCTATCCCCATGATGCAGCCAAGCCTGGGGACACCAGAACCACAGGTCCCATGCAACCCTGCGGACCCCTGCCCGCTCTTTACTCATGCCCTCCTTGCACCCTTGGGGCCTAGGGCAGGATACAACTCCAGAATGAGGATGAGGGTCTTGTGAGTCTCAAACTGGTCTAGCAGCGCAGTGACCAGCGGGTGGCTCAGCGTAGCCAATATGTCACGCTCGCGGTATGCCTGGGCACACGTCCTGCTCCGAAGAGGGATGAACTTGGCAGCGCAGTACATCTGATTGCCCTTGTGCTGCACCCTCTTCACGAAGCCAAACACACCCCTGGGAAGAGGGGAGCCCATGCTGAATGCTTGAGAGCAGCCTTCCAGGGAGGGGAGTAAGGAGATGGGGGTTCTGGGAGATGGGGTCAGGGAGCAGGTAATGGAAGGGACTGGATTGGAAGGGTGGCCTTTGGGAGTTCCCGGAGGCGAGGTTCCCCTAGTGTGAGATTCCCAACAGGCAGGGGTTCTGGAAGGGA